GCTGCCTCAGGCTTGCTGCAAGGTTTATAGCTGCCTCAGGCTTGCTGTGATTATTTTCCAGAATTCCCTTTCTGTCCTTTTGTCAGATTTGTCAAATGTCCTAGTAAGGACAAGCCTCTTATTCCTTTCTGCCTCCCTCCCTCCCTCCCTCTCTCTTTCTCTCCTTCCTTCCCTCCTTCCTCCCTCCCTCCCTCCCTCCCTCCCTCCCTCCCTTCCTTCCTTCCTTTCTCTCTTATTGAAGCACATTGGACTGGATGGGTCTATTTATCTGTGGTGCTTTCTGGTGAAAAGGATTATTTTATAGGCCTAAACAAACCTTCTCATTTCCTACCTTCATTTACCACAGCCTGTGCTCAGCAAAGCTATCCCTTGTCTGTGGCTGCCCGAGTTCAATGTGCATGTTCGTTTAGGGCCATTTGCACCCAGCTGTAGGGACAGATGTACCTGCTACATCAGTACTTTTGAATGCTTTGGTGTCAGTTATTAAGAAGACAAGGAAAAGAGAGCAGTTAACACAGTCATGAAGCCTTTCTCCCATTCCCCAGCCTCCACTTGCTGTATCCCCCTCCTCCTTTTCCTGGAAGAATTTCTTACGGATATAAAAAGGGGGTTCTTGGGACTTCCCTGGTGGCACAGTGGTTAAGAATCCACCTGCCAATGCAGGGGACGTGGGTTCGAGCCCTGGTCGGGGAAGATCCCACATGCCACAGAGCAACTAAGCCCATGTGCCACAACTTCTGAGCCTGCGCTCTAGAGCCCGTGAGCCACAACTGCTGAAGCCCGTGCTCCGCAACAAGAGAAGCCACAGCAATGAGAAGACTGCACACCGCAAGGAAGAGCAGCCCCCGCTCGCAGCAACTAGAGAAAGCCTGCACGCAGCAATGAAGACCCAACGCAGCCAAAAATAAATAAATATTTTTTTAAAAAAAGATTCATTCATCTAAAAAAAATTAAACATATAAAATAAAAATAAGGGGGTTCCTTCCCAGCCTCCCTCCCCACATACAGCTCTTAACGTCAGGCTAAAAACAATTATTGTATTAATTCGTGAAGCAAGATGCTAAGATCATGACTTTGAAAGGGGGTCTGTCATGAGTGCTTCAATGGAGAAGCAGTCCTCTCCACTGCCCCCTAAGCTCCTCCGATGTGGCCATGTCCTCATAGTCATGGTATGTGGGACCAGGGTACATGTTTCCCGTATTACATCAAGTCATTGGCATGTAGGCCGAAGTGTGAGATTTGTACCGGGCGCTCAGCATCCTTGCTGTGTCTCATGGGCTTAGGCTCCTCAGACTGTCACCAGCCTTCACAGGCCCAGCGTGCAGCCCCTGAACTGGACACTTCACCTTGCACTAAGCAGTTGAGAAGATAAAATTCTGTTGTGGGGAAAATATTTTTAACCCTAGCAACAGGTTAATTAGTCTTAGGAAAATAAAGTAAAAATTTAAACTAGTCTGTTTAGCTTTTTCATGGCTTTAACTTTGACCTTGTAGCCTCACTTGTTAACTTAGCAAGCACTTTCTGAGTGCCCGCTGTGCGCGAAGGCTCTGCCAGGTGCTGGGGTAGCGGGTGGGGAGGTGGAAAGCTTGCCCTCAACAATGGCCCCGGGGGTGTGTCCCCATTCTCCTTAAGAAGCTCCCAGCAAAGTTCCTATCCCATTTCTGCAGCTGTCCAGCTCAGCCTTATCTTCTTTTTTTTTTTTTTTTTGCGGTATGCGGGCCTCTCACTGTTGTGGCCTCTCCCGTTGCGGAGCACAGGCTCCAGACGCGCAGGCTCAGCAGCCATGGCTCACGGGCCCAGCCGCTCCGCGGTATGTGGGATCTTCCCGGACCGGGGCACGAACCCGTGTCCCCCGCATCGGCAGGCGGACTCTCAACCACTGCGCCACCAGGGAAGCCCTATCTTCTTATCTGTATGGTTTTGGATTGGCTTCATTCTTATTTTATTTTCAGTCTTATTGAGATATAAATGACATACTGCAGTGTGTAAGTTGAAGGTATGCAGCATAATGACTTGACATGCGTATATTGTAAGATGATCTCCACAGGAGGTTTTATTAACTATATCACCTCATATAGTTATTAAAAATTTTTTTTTTCCCCTGTGATGAGAACTTTTAGGATCTACTCTCTTAGTATTGGGTTGGCCAAAAAGTTCGTTTGTAACAGCTTTCAGAAAAACACGAACGAACTTTTTGGCTAACCAAATATTTATTGATTGATTGACTGATTGATTGCGGTACATGGGCCTCTCACTGTTGCAGCCTCTCCCATTGCGGAGCACAGGCTCCGGACGCGCAGGCTCAGCGGCCATGGCTCACGGGCCTAGCTGCTCCGCGGCATGTGGGATCTTCCCGGACCGGGGCACGAACCCATGTCCCCTGCATCGGCAGGCGGACTCTCAACCACTGCGCCACCAGGGAAGCCCTATTTATTTATTTTGGGCTGCGTTGGGTCTTCATTGCTGCGTGCGGGCTTTCTCTAGTTGCAGCAAGCGGGGGCTACTCTTCCTTGCAGTGCATGGGCTTCTCATTGCGATGGCTTCTCTTGTTGTGGAGCACGGGCTCTAGGTGCGCAGGCTTCAGTAGTTGTGGCTCGTGGGCTCTAGAGCGCAGGCTCAGTGGCCATGGAGCACGGGCTTAGTTGCTCTGTGGTATGTGGGATCTTACCGGACCAGGGCTCGAAGCATGTCCCCTGCATTGGCAGGCAGATTCTGAACCACTGCGCCACCAGGGAGGTCCTGAATATTCATTTTTCACCGAGTCTAATTAGCTTACACACTACAGCTACAGGGTGGTTGAAATAGGCCCCCCGTTGTGCTGGGTTGGCCTCTCTTACATCCTGCCCTTCTTGTCCCCGGCCAGATGTCACCATCTGCACACGAACCATACCCAGCCTGGTCAGACCGGGGGCAGTGCGGTGGCCTGTGTGCCGTCCCTTCCGGAGCCCGTGCTGGGCTGCCCGCCCTTGCTCCTGCTACTCTTCTGTCCTCGAGGTCCTGCTGGACTTCTGCAGCCTCCCCCCACCCGTGTGTCCTGCTCCTGTTCTCTTCTCTGCACCTCCAGGTCCTATTTGCCCTGAGCGTCCTGGCTCAAATGCCTTTCCTGGAAACTGCTAGCTACAAACTCTCCCTCCTCCGATGCCATGCAGCGCTTTCAAATGTCTAGGCCACTTTTAGGGCACCTCCTGTGGATTGCTTGAAGCAGGGTTATTTGTGCTCCGGTTCTAACTCCTACAAGGCAACCAGCTCTTGGAACACAGGATTGGTTTTATTTTGGTCCTCAAAGAGCCTAGCGTAGTGCTTTATACCTGGAAGGCCTGTAGTAGCTGTCTGAATAAAAGGTTGAGACAATGAAAAATAAACACCTGAACTTTCTCTTCATCTTGGAATAGATGTCCTGTTCACCTGGGTGAGAACCCAGGATTTCACAGGTTGCATCATTAACTAACTAGACCTGAAAATGTGAAGTGAAACAGGAGCCCGAAAGCAGGGGCAGCACAGAAATAAGCAGCGGCCCCTGTAGTGGAGGAGCTGTTTCTGAGCTCCGGCCGGGACTGTGCTGGCCACCGTGGGACGTGGGTAGGCAAGAGAGGAGAAAGAAGGGGAATTGGGAGAGTGACCAGGACCATGGTCTCCAAGGTGCAGATTTTCTAGACCAGCGTTTCTCACTCTCAGCACTGTTGACGTTTGGGCCCCTCCATCTCGGTTGTGGGCCCATCCTGGGCATTACGGGCAGTGGCGCAGCATCAGTGGCCTTTCCCCACTAGACGCAAGTAGGATTCCTTCAAGCTGTGACAAGCACAAATGCCTCCCAGTATTGCCAGATGTCCCCTGGGGGACAGACTTCCCACCCCACCTCCACCCATCCCCCCGAACCTTATTTTAGTCAGAAAAGTAATATGAGGTTTCCCTATCATAGAGCAGATGAGCTTTTAAAGGACAGAAACATGTTCTAACTGGCCAAGGTGAAAAGAAGTCCTGCTGGAGGGAGGGAAGAGGATTGCTAGGAAGCGGCAGGCTGCATAGCATAGGGTTAAGCTCCCAGGGGTTGGTGTCAGAAAGCCCTGGGTTTGTATCCCAGCTCTGCCACTTGCAGGTGGCGCAAACTCAGGAAGCCAGGCAGTGTCTCTAAGCTTCAGTCCTCCCTTTGTTAAATAGAGATGATACTAGTAGCAACAATGGGCTTGGTATAAGTGACGTGCAGGCTAGCACCGAGTTGGGGCTTGGTGCCGTGCCTGCCTGCAGTGAAGAAAGAGCCAGCCCTCTGGGACTGAGGCCGTCATCTACTCTCTGGTCTCTTGGTTTTATTTTGCTGAGTGTCTCTCTTCCAGCCTCATGTGTCCAGATGGGCTTCCTTCTACCCACACCTGCCTGCCAGTCCCAGACCCAGGAGCCCTGGCAGTTCTGGTGCCCACTGGGTCTCACCCAGTCTGTGTGCCCCAACTTCACAGTTATGGCAGGAGGTGGGGGTCTGGGTGGCCCAGTTCAAGGCAGTGTCCACCCCTGGCCCCTTCCACTGAGACCAGGCACAGGCAGGGTTGCCCAGGCCACATCCTTCAGGATGGGGAGGCAGCAGGCCACTGGACAAGTCTATTTCTCTTTCCCGAGTTGACTGGTGGCGGTTCATGGAGACCTTCTCTAATAACTCAGTAAAACGAGGTGCTCCTCTGTGTCTCCATAGCATTCTGCTGGCACATTGCTCCCTGACTTTTAGGACGTTGGTTAATTCAGGGCCATTCGTCTCTCTCTTGAGCAGAAGCTCCTTAAGGGAAAAGAGCCCTGAGAGTATTATTCTCTCCCTGCCCCCTGTCCCCAGCACACAATGGTACTCTGTGGTGTGGTTGTTGATATTGGGATAATGAACTTAACTCCCAAGGTAGGCGTCTTCGGAGAGTGTTTTTGTTGATGAACAGTGATGGGGGTGGGGAGAATGCTGGGGTTCCTGTTGAGTGTGTTCTTTAGGTCTCCATCCCTCTAGCCCCACCAGGTACTTTAATACGGGATTGTTCCAAAGCGGTGATTAGCTGTCTCAAAAAGAAGAGAGGATGAGACTCCCTGTTCCATTTGTTTCAAGAGTATTCTGTTCATCTTTTTTCTTTTGTTTTATTTTAGCTGGATGACCTCTTCTGGTCCCTTTGTGTCTTCTGACTGCTTGATTAATATGTAGATTTTCCTTTAGGATATCAATTTACGAGTGAAGTGGCCCAACGATATTTATTACAGTGACCTCATGAAGCTTGGTGGAGTTCTGGTTAACTCAACACTTATGGGAGAAACATTTCATATACTTATTGGTAAGTTTTTAAAGCCTTCCCCCAGAATTTTTAGATTAATAAAAATAAAAGTGGTTCACACATGGCTATATTGGGGGGAGTGGATTATCATATGGGATTACTTTTTCTTTGAGTCTTGAGTTATAGAACACAATATGTGTGCGCAACAGGCCAGATTGGTAGAAAGCCCTTCAAAGGGTTTAGTGTTCCTATCTATGGCCATGGAAACCACTGAATTGGCATCTCATCAAACAGGCGTTTTCTTATACCTCTCCATGCTTCTCAATGAATTAGAAACAGTGAAAGTAAACATTTACTGTATTATTTGGTAATAAGAAAAGAAAGCTAATTTCAAGGATGGGTGTCCTGGCAGTCTTTCTTGTATTCTTAATCTGACCTTCCCAGTCCCTGGAAAAGTTGCCTTCTTTTTGACCTCAGAAGAAACTCCAGGCTGGTCAGGGTGGGGTGAAGAATCCCTGTTTCACATCAGCACGTCCGTATCAGGCAAGGAGATGGATCTGAAGTGGCTTCAGAAGTTCCTCGGCACCTGGTCATCCAAGCATCAGCTTCTCCCTAATGCCCAGGAGAGTTTGATTGGTGTTCAGAAATCAGTGATGGAGAGAAAACATGTGATTGTGTGTTAGAAGCGCCAGCCAAAGAATACAAGGTGTATGCTTCCAGCTCTGCTACCAACAGGCAATACTATTCTAGGCAAGCTTCTTCATACCCTCCAATCTCCGTTTGCCATCTGTAAATGAGTAACTGGGCTAGGTGCAGAGATTCCTAATAGGGCCCACAGATATTGAGGAGGCCCAGTGCTGGGTTTCCTTCAGGGAGCTAGGGAATTTTGTCAGTGTGGGGGGAATGAAACATTTTCCTGCGGGGAGAATCCATAGCTTTCTTAAGGCGTTGGGACGTGGGGGAGGGGGACGGGGGCATTTTGGGGGAAAGATTCAAGGTCACCGTCAGGGGTGCTTGCTGGTCTTTAGAAAGACGCAGCCTAAGTTGACAGTAGTTCACGTAGCTATTTTCCCAGCACTTTGGATTTCTGAATACAGGGGAGCTTTTTCAGCGCTATATACACTCAATCGAATGCTTGATATGCCACAGGTGCTTCAGCTATTGTGCATGTTGTCCAGTGAAAGAACAAATGAACAACTGCAGATTCTGCCCCTGTTGCTCTAGTTACTTGTTTTTTACATTGCTTTGTATTTTAATAGCCAGTATATTTTAAAAAATAATAATCTGAAGCCAGTCAGTCCTTCCCTTAACACTGAAAGTGGCGCAGAACATTTACCAAAAAGTAGTTATTGTAAATATCGTTGTTCTATCTGAGGCAAGTATTTTGGGAATTTTTTTCCCAGAGGCCCTGAAAAAAACGATAGTCTTCCTGCCTAGTTCTTGCAGTATTTTATTCCTTATTGAAGACCTCTTTGAGGTTGGTTCAGGGCCCTGCTGAAAACCAAGGTTCGGCTTTTCTAAAGCCTCCCCTCTTCTGCAGAGAACAGTGGTGTTAAGTAACAGCAGAGATAAGCCAGAAACTCACTCTCCTGAAGCCTTGGTTTAGGGGCTTGTGAAAGAGCCACTGAACATGGGTTGGCCTTTTGCCAACAGTGTAACCCTAGCACCAAAGACTTCCAAGGATAAAGCATTAAAAGATGTGTTTTAGGGTTAAGTCATGACCAAGGTTGGAAATCTCTGAATCCAGAGTTTACTTCTTAAGACCTGAATAAAATTCTTGATATGTAAGCATGTGTTCCGTTATTTAAATAGAAAAAGAAACAAGAGATTTTGTTTTACATCCGGCTCAGTGCAGAGCTCCAGTTCTTGGCTAGACCACAGGAGGTGGTCGTTTCAGAAGCAACTCTGTTTTGTCCCATTCGTAGCTTCTGCTTAATTGAATCAAATCTGGCTTGCTTTTTTTCCCCAACTAATTTGTAATCTGGAATGGTTCTGGTTTGATGGGGATAGTGAGGGAAGGGTGAGAAAGGAAGATGGGCTTAAAGACGTAAGTCTTTCTCTAAGTGGCCAGAGACAATAAACTCAAAATGAGGACAAGGAAGCAGGAAGTTGACAGTAAAAACTGTAACTTTTTCCAGGTGGTTCAGAGAAACGTGTGATGTCGTCAGTAGGTTGAGCTACTCGTGTTTTCAATTGTTTGTTTTTGTCCAGGCTGTGGATTTAACGTGACTAACAGCAACCCTACCATATGCATCAACGATCTTATCACAGAATACAATAAGCAACACGGGGCCGAACTAAAGCCCTTAAGAGCTGATTATCTCATCGCCAGAAGCGTGACTATGCTGGAGAAGCTGATCGACACATTTCAGGACGAAGGGCCCAATGGCGTTCTTCCTCTCTATTATAAATATTGGCTACACAGGTCAGTGCTGGCTTGTCTTCATTCTTTTAAAATTCCTTTATTAAATCAGTAGTTTAATATCTTAAAACGAGAAACTAAACACTGGTCTAGATCATTATCTTTTACTTTACTGATGGATAAACCTGGTGGATACCACCTTGAGCAAGTTAGCATCTCCAGTCATTGGGACAAACGGGCATCCTGTGCCTCCTGGTGGGATGCCCTGGGAAAGACACAACATCACTGGAGATTTTCCTGCCCAGCATGTTTAAGCTGAATCTAATTGTGAGGAAACAGGCAAATCTAAAATGTGGGACATTCTTGATAACAGTCATCTTCAAAGTGAGATCTCCCAGCAGCCGTGGCAGCCTTACCTGGGAACTTGTTAGAAACGCAGATTCTTGACTTCCACCCTGGACTTCCTAAATCAGAAACTCTGAGGCTGGGGCCCAGCATTGTGTGTTAACAAAGGCTCCAGGGGATTCTCAGGCACTTCAATTTGAGAAGCACTGATGTATACCAATAGGCCTCTACCCTTCAACAATGGCAGTGTCTTAAAAACACAGAGAAGGTGGGAGTTTTGTGATCAAAGAAGACTAAGGAGGCATGACAGTTAAATGCAATATGTGATTCATAATCAGATCCTGGAAGGGAGGAAATAGCCACAAAGAATATTAATGAGACGATGGGGACATTTGAACAGGCAGTGTATATTAAATAATGTTATTGTATCAAGATCAAATTTCTTTTTCTTTTTTTCTTTTTTTTTTTTTTTTGCGGTACGCGGGCCTCTCACTGTTGTGGCCTCTCCCGTTGCAGAGCACAGGCTCCGGATGTGCAGGCTCAGAGCCCGTGGCTCACAGGCCCAGCCGCTCCGCGGCATGTGAGATCTTCCCGGACCGGGGCACGAACCCGTGTCCCCTGCATCAGCAGGCGGACCCTCAACCACTGCGCCACCAAGGAAGCCCAAGATCAAATTTCTTGAGAGTGATAATGATATTCTGGTTTTGTAGGAGATACTTCTTATTCTTTGGAGATACATGCTGAAGTATTTAAGTGTAAAGTGTCACAATGCCTGCAACTTATTTGTAAATATCAGCAAAAACCACCCCCACAAAACTGTAGGTGTGTGTGTGTAAAGAGAGCAAACATGGGAAATGTTACCAGTTGGTGTGAATATAAGTGAAAGGGGAATGTGAGGCTCATTGTACTATTTTTCACCTTTTCTGTAGGTTTGAAATTCTTCAAAATAAAAATTGGGGAGGTACAGAGTCCGTACTTTTAAAACTGTTAACAAGGATGTAACTCAACAGTTGCATTTGGAAACTGTTCTAAAGAAGTAAAATTAGAATGAGTTTAACTTATAATTGATGCTACCCAACTTGATAAAGAGTTTTGAACACAGCCAGAAAGCGGCCAGTCTCAGCCAAAAAACCTAGAGGGTTGCACAGTGTTTCTTTAAAGTAGCTAGAGGGACTTCCCTGGTGGCACAGTGGTTAAGAATCCGCCTGCCAATGCAGGGGACGTGGGTTCGAGCCCTGGTCTGGGAAGATCCCACATGCCGCAGAGCAGCTAAGCCCGTGTGCCACAACTACTGAACCCATGTGCCACAACTACTGAAGCCCGCGCGCCTAGAGCCTGTGCTCCGCAACAAGAGAAGCCACAGCAATGAGAAGCCTGCGCGCCGCAACAAAGAGTAGCCCCTGCTCGCCACAACCAGAGAAAGCCTGTGTACAGCAACAAAGACCCAATGCAGCAATAAATAAATAAAAATTAAAATAGCTAGAGGGTGAGGAAGTGGTGCAAATAATCATTCCAGATGATCAGAATGAGGAGTGCGTCGTTTATAAGGGAAGCAGTTCCTAACTCCCTAGTGGACTTTCCTTCGCCCTGGTTATGCGGGTAGTTTTCAGGACAATTCAGGGGAGACCAGTGGAAGTCAGAGCTCGGGCTCAGATTCATTTTAACTGTATCCATCCCAGCCCACCCCCGAATCCTTTCGCATAATGGATAATTGCTGAACTAATTGTCTCCAGCAGCAGCATTACACTTCCCTGGTGACTGGGGGCTGTCCTTCACTTTCAGTGCTCAGCAGGTCCGCCTGGGAAGTGCTGAAGGACCAAAGGTGTGGATAGTCGGCCTCGACGATTCCGGGTTCCTTCTGGTTCACCAGGAGAACGGCGAAGTGGTGACTGTGCATCCAGACGGCAACTCCTTCGACATGCTGGGAAACCTCATAATCCCCAAACAGCCGTAGTCCTGTCTGGAGCGTCTGCTGGGCCCCACAGCTGGGATGAGCTGGGACGGGCGGAAGGGCAGAACCGCCGCAGGAGCATTGCACGTCGATTTCTGCCGCCTTTCCTAGCCCATGATCTGGAAAACGAATTCGGAGTTGTAGGCAAATGTTTTCTCCCTCCACTTAACCTGTTAATTCTTTAATTTTGTTGTGTTGTCATTTTATTTGGTGTTTGAAGATGCTGGGGGTGGAGGGTTGACAAGTAGAAGATTTAATTCAGGTATAAGCTCTGGCATAGGGTGTGAAATTCTTCTCCCCTCTTGGAATTGGATGCATCTTAATTGGGGAGGGGGGTAGTTTTTACATGGAAACAGCAATGGCATAATTCAAATGTTTTCCCAGTAATGGAGGTCTCTACCCCTAGACTATTAAAAACAGATTTTAAAAAAGGTTTTCGGGCCCAGACCATTGGTGAGTTAGAGGTAGGGTAACCCTGTTTACAAGCATCCAGGGAGGTGTTTTCCTACAGGAACATATATTGGCACTTAGTTATCATTTTATTTTTTTGTTAGTGAAGAAAAGAGAAGGTAGATTTCTAGTGTTACTCTCATCCTGTGGTTTGTGGTCCAATAACAATGTCTAAACGGAACAGAGGCTGGTATGCTTGCAATGACCTTGTAGAGGAAATCAGTTAATTATTTTGACATTAACTAATGAGCTCTCCTTTCATAAGTTTAAATTTACTGCATATTCTGAAGTGATGGGATCAAGTTCAGGGTCCTGAAAGCGTGGATCAGGCAGTTGCGCAGATGCGAGGTGGATGATTTGGGCCTACCAGCTGGGTTTGAAGTCTCTCATTCCACACGCAAAGGAGGATGTGGCGCTTGTAAGCCAGCTTCAGGCTCGCTTCGAAATCCTGCAGAACTGTGCAGTGCACACACTATAGAAGTACGTGGCATTTTATTTGTAAGTCACATTTTTTTGCCCCCTTTCCATATTGCCAAAAAAGAAAATGTTATTGCTACTGAATGCCATCAGTTAAGAGGATGGGTGTGTGTGTGTGTGAGAGAGAGAAACTTTAAAAGAAGATGTTCCAAATATGATGCCCTAAGAGTCTGCATGGAAGAACAAAAGAAAGGAAGCCTTTTGATATACATTTGCTATTTCCAGATGTATTCCATGCTTTTTCCATGTAACTCCTATCTCTGTTGAACTTGAGAATCATACACATTACTTTTCAGCCTGAAAAGGCCAATTTTTGTCCCCTTTTCTCTCTTCCTGCCATTCCCAACTGAAATTAGTGGCAAGAAAACTTGATGAGGCTCTCAGCTTTGAACAAAATCCCCTTATTGTGCACTAGCACCCTCTTCATCCAGCTTTACCCAGTCAGGCTAACTCCAGAAGCTTGTGGGTTTCAGTATAAAATCTGCCTACCTGTAGCCAGGCACAGGCAGCCACATAGGAAGGAAACAAATAACACGTTTAGTTAAGTCCACTAACCCAATATGTGTGTTTTGGAAATGTAACTTGAAAAGAACTTCAGAAGTAATTTTTGCAAATAAGGCTTCAATTAGAATTATTCTTTTAAAAAAAACAAAAACAAATAACCCACTCTCTCCTAAATGCCCAAGTCTACATAAAAGTTTAAAGTCCACAGCACCCCAAAATTACAAAATGGTCTCACCCTTGAGAGGGCATCTGCAAAATATCATCAAGAAGAAAGATCTCAGGCTAATGTTGCAAGTTTCATTTCTCAAACTCTGTAATATAAGGCAAGTCATCTCTCAGAGCTGCCATCATTACTTTTTGAATTTCTTTGGGGGGTTATTTAATGAGAAACATGCTATGATTTGTTTTAAGCTGAAGTCCTATTCTAGACAGTCTGCTTTGGGGAAAAAAAAAATGTTATCATTTAATTTCCTTTTGGTAAATTAAAACTAATGAAGTGTGGCCATGTCAAAGCAGATGGAGATGTTCCGGGCATATCACTTTGCCTCTGTGCTTTTAAGACTGTTCTTACTTGTGCCGACACCCAGTTGTCTTGAGGGAGACAACATAGACTTGGAGCAGATGCTGCGTTTTTCATAAACCTGATTTTGCCTCAGAGGAACCAAAGACTTTTGAAATTCTGCTTCATATAGAACAGCTGAATAAAGGCATTTCCCTTACAGCTGTTAGCATTAGGGAAACTTGCTGTACTGCACTCATCAATTTGGGCCGTTTATGCACCCGGCAATCGATGACCTCAAGGAGCTTTAAAGTCTTAACGGGAACTTTGCATTTTCTTCTTAATCTTTAAAACACGGCACCTAAACTCAGGATTGGCGTGTGCTCTTAGGATATTGAATTGTGCCCCAGTTCAGAGGCTGCGCATCTCTACCAGGTTATGTAAAGGGCAAGATGTCATCCCTTCTGGGCTGGTAGCAAATTTCAGAAGAACTCTTGAGGAAGTGCCCCCTAAAATAGGACACAGCAATACCTGGGCTTCCGGGGCACGCACGCGCGCATGCACACACGCACACACACCCCCCTCAGCAGTGCTCCTCGGCACTGTTCATCCGGGCAGCGTTTACAGCGTGGAGGCAAAGCCGAAAGGATTTGTGTCCGGTGTGGGGCTCGCTGCTGCAGCCCCCTGACTGCTGTGGGTGGGTGCGCAGGCCCAGATCCGCGTAGCATGCAACCGCACCCCTACCCCTACACACACGGGGGGGCTGCATGGCCGTCTCTCACCCGAGAGTCTGGGAGCCAGGAGAGAAGCAGACTCACCCAACCGTTTCAGAGTGCATAAAGGAGACATTTTAGGCTTCCAGTCCATAGATCTGTTTGCTCGTAACAGACAAAGAATGGAGAGTCGGTATTCCTGGGTAACTACTCTGCGTATTTGAAATAAAAGAAAGTGTGAAACCTCTGCATTTTTAGCTTTTCAAAGAATCGTCTCTGAAAAGGAATTAATTTAAACCAATTCCTGTAAAAAGCAAGTCTATCAAAATAAACTTTAAGACTTTCTATATAGTTCAGGCTCTTTGTTATTTTTACCACATTTCATTTGTAAAACTAAGCAACTACTTTTGGTTACAGTGTTTTTATTCATATTTAAACATTTAAAAAAATAGTTTAACATCGGAATATGTATGTATTTCTAAGTATTAAGAAGCTGGTGGCTTTTTAAATGTATTTTTGAAAAATGTATTATGTATCATACAAAAGAGAGATCATATTACTCCAAAGAATGAAAGCCAGCAAACTGAAAAGTGAAAAAAAGAAAACAAAACTGAGGTGAGAAATAAATTTACTAATGTCAATTTTTAATTTGAAAATTGAGTACAACAACAAATTTAATATAAGAACAGATTCTGTTGTTGTCGAATTGTTCTCTTTTGTGGAAACTGCTTGACTTTTGTCTCGACAGTTTTTCCCCAAGATTTTAACCGTATTTATCATACTTAAGTTTAGGAAGCGCTTGAGTAACGCACCTTAGATAACCCAAGGGCTACTATTCACTAAGATTTTAAGCTACTGTAATTTTATGGAATTTATTTTAAAGTGTTCTTTCATCTGTACCAGCCCCCAAAGTCTACCTTAACTGTCTCACAGTTACAATAAATTACAGTAGACTCGAAACAGGATTCGTTGAAGGATTACACCTCCCCCACCCTTAGGATCCAAAGGAGGAAGGCCTGGCGCATCGGACTTTAAAATGACAAAAGGGGTCGGGGTAAGGGAGCAGAAAATACAGGCTCTTGCAGATTTCCTCCGAGCAGCCCTTCACACCCTGTTCACTTCTCTACAAAGGTATGAGTGGAATGGCTTTTCTAGAAAGGGCTTCAATGAACATAAAGGAATTCCTTTCTCCGGGAGGCCCAGTGGAGGGAGGGCCGAGTCAGTCTTGAACTGGGCTGATTTCTCAAATCCATTTGATCTGGCATTTTTGTCAACATGTTAGGACCCACTACAATTTTTTTCTTCTTTTTTTGTGAAAGAGATGCATATTTATTAAAATGCTTCCTCTTCCTCTTCCAGAGCCTCACAGAAGTCAGGAAACGATATCCCCAGCTTAAATGTGCAGACTAAAAGATGGAGGTAATCATATCAGGTTGCCATAGTAACTGCTCTGTTAACTTTTCTCCGAGCTGCTGGCCGCCTGGAAGCCGGCTTGCAGAGGAATCTTCCTTCATGTTCTAGGCTATGAAAACTGTGATGTTTGTTTAGGCAAGGAAGTTTTCCTAGTACACATTTTATTTTTCAAGTACATATACACTCATCGTTAAGCCTGTTTATGTTCTCATTTATAAATCTATAACGCTCTTCTTTCCTAACAGTAACCTTTGATCTTAAACTGCTCCGAAAGCCTTCGTGGTTTGTATTTATTTATACAGCCCCCAATGGTTAATGACAAGGTAGACACAAAAGCATTTTACAGTACTTTATTGAAAAATGTCAGGTGAATCTCCTGCTCATCGAACCTGCACCTTCCTGGAATCATGGTTTAATTACGGGTCTCGACAGCACAAAAATAATACCCCAGGCTTATTTTATGTGTGCACACACTCACAACAAGCTGCTCATGAGGTATGGCTAAGTGCTGTGTAGGGGTGTATGCCTATAATTCTTCTGAACCTGTCTCTTCACTGCAAGACACATGTTCCTAAATTTGCAAATTGTACCGTAAGGCAACTGACACCTACGGAATGAGGCAGGTCCTCATAGTGACACTGGGTGGGCAACAGGTCCTTTCACATTTTAAGAACAGTTGACGTAGGTGCACTTTGATTCTAGAACAGTGAGTTAAAGACATTTGTGAACAACCTTTCCACTGAGAAAGGTGGACATAGTTTCCTAAAAGTAAACCATTTTTGAAAAAGCAGCAAAACGAGGGAGCATTTATCGTGTGGAGCAGATTGAAAAAAGGGTGGTTCAACGCATTGATCCACTGCAGAACCGTGATAGAATTTTTAAATGGTGAAATCTTGAAGCAAAAGTATAAAAATAAAACAAAAATTAATGGAAGTTTATTTTAAAAACACTGCTGGTGCTTTTTTTAAAAAAACATTTATTTATTTGGTTGTGCCGGGTCTTAGTTGCTGCATGTGGGCTCCTTAGTTGTGGCATGTGGGATCTAGTTCCCTGTCCAGGGATTGAACCCCGGGCCCCCTGCATTGGGAGCACGGAGTCTTAGCCACTGCGCCACCAGGGAAGTCCCTGCTGGTTCTTTATAAAAAGATTTCTGTTTACCTGTTATACACATGACATGTTCATACGGAGTTTTCTTGCTCTGTATAAAATGCAGAAAACGCTGAAGACAACATGTACATCATTTTCATTACATCCCTTTAGCATGTTTTCTTCCACAAGGCGCAGTCCATTGACAATCTTCCATATTGCACATGCAATGTAACTACCTTTATTAGCACTACTTGTAGCAAACACGAGCCTAGGGAATTACAGGTCTGTGTGGGCCAGAGGGATTTTGCCTTGCCATCAAACTTGACAGGGGTAGCCAATCCACTGGGCACGGAAATCATCCACATGTCATTCTCATAAAATATCTGGCTATATATATATATTTGCATTTAATGCCTATTCCATATATTTCTGAAGGTGCTGTTCTCAAGAGTTCATGGGGTAGGAGGGAATAAGAGCTTGTGAACGTACTCGTGAAGCGCACCCACGTTCACCCCCTTGTCTGGGCTTGATGTTTGTATTAAGGAAAGGGTTAAATTAAAACAACAGCTTTTAATTAGACTCATGAATGACTTTTAAAGACAACGGAGTTGTCCGTTCATGGGACTTAAATCATCACATTCTGCCTTGACTTAATCTAAAAGGACTCTGGATACAGGAAGCTTCCAGGTCGGCCACCCACCGGCACCCCTGACTGCATCAGGGTGGGGTTTCCTCCGCAAAGTGGAGGGCATCTGAGGAGCGGCGCCTCCTCCAAGCCCCCAGAGGGACTGTTACTGAACATCGGGGACACGCAAGGCGCGCAAGCCTGATTTCAAGGTGAGGAAACCAAGTCCCCCCAAAGACGGAGTAGTTGAGGCCACACGTGGGCGGTCGGGGACGCTCAGCTACGCCCTTTCAGAAAACCCGGCTCTTGCGGAACAAAGGTCGAGCGGTCACGTCTCCCCAATGTCGCCGTGTCTCTGTCCTCTACGCGGACGGTTATGGCATCTACGGTAAAAATCCAAAAGTCGGCGGTGGAGTTCTAGTAAAATAGTTGTCTCTGTATAAATTAATTTAAATCGTGCATATACATCTCGTCCCTCTTGACTCGGCTGGACTTGGTAAAATGGGAGCCAAAGAGGCTGGCCTATGGCTTCTCCCCGCGGGCAGCCCCGCGCGAGGCGGGGCGGCCCCAGGACTCTGCGGTCCGGCCCGGGCGGGTCACCTGCCGTTGGTAATGATGACCGAGGCGCCCAGGTAGTGCGGCAGGGGCGCGCCGGGCGGCGAGGCGGCGGCGGCGGGGTCGGGGGCCCGGGGTCGCAGCGCGCCGGCCCCCGCATCGGGGACGCCGGGGCCGCCGGCGAGGGCGGGGGCGGCGGGCGCAGCGCCCCCCAGCGGCCCGCGGCGGGCCAGCACGCGGTGGTAGTTGAGCAGTACGAAG